AAAAATATTGAATTACTAAAATCAAATAATCAGTCATCATACGACCTATTATATTATAGTGTTTTGATTTATTTATGTTATTTATAGTTTCTAACAAATTTTCTTGATGATGTCACTTGTGTGAAAAAATTGAAATTTTTAAAAAGTAATAGATAAAAAAAAAGGTACTTAAGTTTTTTTATATATAATATGGTTTTCTTAATGATAATATTAATATGATTATTTAAAACTAAATATTGAACCTTTAAATCAAGTAATAATCATTAACAAGAACACGCTAGCCAAACATTTAAGTAATTATTTGATTTGTCATTGTTTATTGTAACAAACAAAAACAACACTTTTTATTTCACAATAGAGTTTACTTATGAGTAAAAAAGTCATGATTTGAGTTCAATTAAGTCAAAGGCATAGGATGAATGGATGCATATGATTTGAATTGAATTATTGGGCTTTTTGCCGCCTTCAACCGTGATTCCATTACATGCACAACCTTCACTCACTTCCCTATTTATACCTTCATTATCTCTCTCCTGTCTTTCAAACCATCTCTCCCATTGTAAATTTGGTCATGCAAATCATGGCTATTCTCTTCCTTTTAACCATCATGCTCTTGTCTCTCCACACCGTCCATGCCAATAAAGGGGGTTGGCAAAAGGCTCATGCAACTTTCTACGGTGGTGAGGATGCTTCCGGTACCATGGGTACGTTTTACTGTATCTGCATTTACATTGTACATATGATTTTTTGTTTATTAGAACCCTAACAAGGGTTTTATTAATCGACTTTTAATCGACAAATTAATGCTTACATACCCTTTGAATAACCAAGATCAAGATGGACAAACTCATTGAGGTCATTGGAAACAAATTAAGATGGGCACTTGTTATTTGATGTGTAAATTATGCTTCATGCCACATTTTTGTATATGATTAATATATAATCTATGGTCCAGAGTTTCATTTTGTATTATATCGATTTATATTTTTTAATTGATTACAATTATAACGTCGACGATACACTTAAAATTTCACAACTGTTGTGAAAGTACGAATTACAGACTAAAGATTGCATCAAAGTATATGATCTTTTAATATAAATATATGATCTTCCCTAATTTGATTGGCTTTGAAACACTTAATGGTAATGGTAAGTTCAATTGAATGATTTTTTTTTTCATCTTACCTACTAGAAAAAGCTTATTTTATTAGTTTAATTAAACTTTAAACAACGTACATTTTATTTCTCCATTTGTGGGGACCTTATTTCTACTCATGTTACTATATGAAATATGGATAATCCATATTTATTGTGAGACACGGTTGTATTGTTGCATGGGTGCAGTGGCAACCAACCTCCTAGGGTTTAGCAATTAGCTGGCCTAGTGGACTCATGACTCACTTTTCTGTGACCAAATTTAATACGCAGGTGGTGCATGCGGGTACGGCAATCTTTACAGCGACGGCTACGGCACAAATACGGCGGCGTTGAGCACCACCCTCTTCAACAACGGCCAGAGCTGCGGTTCCTGCTACCAACTGCGGTGTATCGACGACCCAAAATGGTGTCTTCATGGAATCATCACCATCACCGCCACCAATTATTGCCCACCAAATTACGCCCTTGCTAATGACAACGGCGGGTGGTGCAACCCACCGCTCCGCCACTTCGATCTGTCACAGCCTGCTTTCTTAAAGATCGCACAGTATCGCGCCGGAATAGTCCCTGTTGCGTACAGAAGGTACAATAACACACCAGTAACTGTGCATAACGTAAAATAATCGAGTCTTTTTTATATATTTTTATAATTTGATAAGCGTATTTCAGGGTACCATGTGTAAAGAGAGGAGGGATGAGGTTCACCATTAATGGTCACTCTTACTTTAACTTGGTTTTGATAACCAACGTCGGAGGTGCAGGAGAGGTTCATGGGGTTTCGATCAAAGGGTCAAAAACAGGGTGGCAAAGGATGACCAGAAACTGGGGTCAAAATTGGCAAAGCAACTCGTATCTTGATGGTCAACGCCTCTCTTTTAGGGTAACGGCAGGTGACGGAAGAACAGTCACCAGCTATAACGTGGTGCCTGCTGGTTGGCAGTTTGGGCAGACGTTTCAAGGTGGTCAATATGAAAATTTTTGAACCAACAAATCTATAACTGAAATCCCATTAAGATTAAAATAAAAGAGGGGATTTATGTGTTACTAGTGATGTTGAAAAAAAGCATTCAATCTTGTTTGTATTATATATAATTGTATACTAAAAGTTGTTCAAATAATTGAAAGTGGGAGAATATATGTTTCAAGTGTTGTTATGGGGATTTTGGAATCATGATAAGCTGCATAGACAAGACCACGTTGTTGATCGGATAAAATATTCGGGTTTCGGGTAATTCAGGTTTTTCATGTTAAAAAAAATACTCATTATCCGATCCAAATTAAATTCAGGTAATTCGGGTAGTAGGTCGGGTTTGGGTAATTCGGGTATTACCCGAAAATAAATGTAATAGAGTAAATATGTCATGTTCTATTAGTCTTATTTATATAAACAAACGAGACATAAACGAAGTTACTCGAGATTTTTAGTCAATAATACTTTAGATATCAAGTAATCTTTTACAAAAATAATATCATTTACAAGAAACCAAAATGCAAGAAGCCAATACCCCATTTTCGAAATCATTTACAAGAAAATCACTTACTTTGAAGTTTGAAATCTAAATCGGTGAGTGTTGGTGACAACTTGATGACCGGTGATGACAAGTTGAGTTAAGTTTGAAGTCTACTGGAGATGTCTCTTTGTCTTCGTAGGGTTCGATACTTCGATGGAAGACTCAAGAAATAGACAAGGGTTTTTTTTTTAAATCAATGATCGGGAATGAGGATAAAGTCGTAAACAACATATAGATAAGTGTGGATATTACCCAAAGCTCCCTTTATTTTTTAAATAAATCGGGTATTTTGGGTATACCCGAAACCCTATACATATATCGTATATCCGCTCTAAAAAAATCGGATAACCCGAATACCCGAAAATATATACCCGATACCCGAATTCAAAACGGGTCGGGTCGGGTAATCGGGTATCGGGTAATTTCAACAGGCCTAGACAAAACAAGGCTAATAACAATTAAAATGAGTAAATGGAATGGACTAAGGTACTTGTGTTAGCATGGTAGTTGAAAGATAGTTTTTGTCTAATAAGCTAGTTGGTAATTGATAAATCTAGTTTATAGTGTAAAAATGTTTAGTAAATTAGTTAACAAGCACGATGACAAATGTAAAATGATATAAAAGAAATTAGCTAGAAATGAATATATAAAAGTATATTCACAAAACTTCATATACAATGGACGACAACATAACAACCCACATTCAAAAGTTGAGTTTAATTTATCAAATGGCAACTATGCATTTCACCTAATTCAATCTAAGCATCCACAATGTTTAGTTTAAAGAAATTATTGAATTACTTAGCATTCAAGTGATTAAACTAAACCATAATTGATTAAACTAAACCATAATTGAATGACATTGACATTCAATAAATATTTGTTACAATGGCTATTGAATGATACTTTAATATTAAATATTTGTACAATGGCTATTGAATGATACTTGAATGTCACATCGACATTCAATAAATATGTGTTACAATGGCTATTCAACTGTTCGATTCAATGATAAAAATAAAACTTTTTTATGATTAACAAATAATATGATTTTTTTTAATATGTTCCATCGAACATCTTTGCTATAGTAACATTATTATTTACTTACTTCATTTCGACCACATGACTTTTTAAAATGTGATTTACCCAAAACAAACATGAAACTTACCGACTTTAAGCTACACTTTCCGATTTACAATCCTAAACTTAAACAAAACCGATATTACACAAATCAACCATCCATCCACAATACGCAATTTTATAACCAAACATTTCCAAATTTTCTACAAACTCTAAAA